ATAGGTCTTAAGCATTGCCCTTTATCCGCTCCGTGAGCTGCATCTCAATGAGCCAGTCCCTGCTCCTTCCATCACTCTGATCTGTCTCTCAGTCCTGGATCTGAAGGGTACTTGGAGGAGAGGGGGGGATCACAGAGCTCGGTGGTCCCCCCAGGGGATGCCCTGGGCTAATGTGCCATGCACCGTTTGCATCTCGGAAGAAACGGCCTTCTTCGCGAGAAGCACTAAATCTGTACCCCACCCCGCCCCCCAGAAGCGCTCCCCGTTTTCAGATCATTAGCTGGTATTGTGCCACACAACTTCTCTCAGCTACTCAGCGCAAGCCAAGACTTTCATATGTCGCTGTAATGAGTGTCTCTCCGCCGGTTTGTCTGAAACATCTGTGGAGATGGCGCATTTGTACAAAGCAGCTTCTTTCCCTTGCGTTTGAAACTGTAACTCTGCGAACCCGAAAAGCGGGTGATTAAAGCGCGCGCGCGCACAGAGAGGGACACCCCGGCGGGCAGAAAGTTCATTAAACAAAATGATCCGTTTGGAATGTTAAACGCTACCAAATGGGCATGGAGGCAACCCAGACATGCTGGCCACAGGGCTCTTGCACTTGGTGACTATGGAAAGTCCCTTACAAGGCAGCATTTGATTCCCTGATATGTTCTCCTTGTAAAAATACCAAATGCGGAGGAAAAAGCATGTGCGAGCATTTCCTTTGGAATTCATTAGGCTTAAATTGGTAGGAGACTGTGGAAAGCTCGCCTGTGCGGACATAACAATAAACTTCGCCAAATCTTTCTATCAGAGCGCGCGGATTGTATGGAACGAATAATATTTGCATTTAATTAAAGTCAGAGGAAGTGCCCAGGAGCAAAGCATCTTTTCACACTTAAGTTAATATATGAAGCCAGAAGAGACATCCTTCTTCCTCTATAGGCTAAATCAAGATTTCACCGAAACAAGAGACAACGTAACATTAAAACCGCTCTAACGTGGGGAAATTCTCTCCCTGGATGGGCCACTGATGTGTCAGTCTAGTCATGGCATAATTTCCCAGCGCTTTTGTGACATATAACTCGGTGCTTCTCCAAAGATCGTAGTACAAAAGATAATGTGATGTGTTTTTAGAATTGAGGGGTACAGTTGGACTCTTCCCAGCAAGTGGCCTGCTGCGTTGTGGTGACATCATTGTGCGTTGCTCACTGAATGTTGTCACTCGGTTTATGGGGGCGGTGGTATTTTTTAAAAACCTAGCATTTAATGTTTGCATTTGTGATTACAGAATTTTATGATAGCCATTTATTCAAATGTGACAGCCAGGGGCAGGCTTGTTATCCTACCACGGACCTTCATACAGAAGAGATACTCTTAAATTATCTTTAGCCTCTCAATTAATAATTAGACGGCTTTAGCATTTCCTACCCCTTTCTCCGGGCATTTTGCATGCTATTGATTGAGCGCTCTGTTGTGGAATACGTGTCTGAAGTACAGCGAACTAACCCTTGGAAAATCATACCTGACAGAGAACCAAAAATTACAGAAATGTCTCTACAGAAAGATGGAATGATCTCTTATCAAGGGGGAAATGAACGTTCTTTGGGTGCCGGGGAGGCGAGCTCTAGTGGTTCTCTACAGGCAGTTCTAAGCTGTCCATTCTAAAGTAAGAATGGATAATTGAGTGACTTCCCTGGTTTGCCAAGTGACTTTTCTGGCAGGGAGTCGAACAAAGGTTAGTTGTAATGGGGGGAGGAGGACATTCCCAGTTCCACTCGGAAAGTCAGAAGAGTTCCTTGGCACTAGGAAGAATCTCACCCAGTGTGTGTCGTCCACATTTTCTCAATATACCCAAAGAAGGCAGCACCACTGGGAATTTGCCAAGAGATCTTTCTTGCTCTATATTAAGACAACAAGGTTCAAAACAGGCACCGTGACCTTTTCTGGTTCCTTGGCCCGAAGTGAAAGGTGGGAGTAAGATTTAAGACACAGGCATGCTATATATTAATACATCTCTAGTCTAACACAATCTACCCAGATAAGTACAAAGTGCACCTACTTCTAGGGTTACCTGATTCACAAGCTATAAAAGTCTAATGGACAACAAATGTAATGAGAAAAAGTTGACTGCTTAAATATTGGGACAAAGTCTAAAATAACGTGATCGCCACACTTTTCCTTGGGATTTGCAATAGCTTTGCCTGGGACTTGGAGCATGACCTGCAGAGGGCAATAGTTGGACGCAAATGATAATAAAGGCATTTCAGGCTCGGAACTGTGGCTGTGACCCAAGAATGCTGTGTAGCTAGGCAGTAGTGCTTAATTAATGTATACTGAAACAAAAGATCGGGTAAATTGTTTGATTTGTCTTTAGGCTACATTTTCAAGGCTAATCTAATTCATAACTGTTAGGTTTATTCTAGTGAGATTAACACAAACTTCCAGAAGAGACACGCAGTTCACTTCAGAATTACCCTAACACTAATTGTTTACTGGAACATTTACTACATTCAAACATTCGGATGGTTATTTATTTTCATGTTGGTTTATTATCTGCTGATTGTATGGGAAAGGCGGAAATGAACAGGAGTCTTCCTAGTGATCTAGAGATCGACAGGAAAGATGGGTAGACTCCATACAATGAGAATAAAATCGCTAAGTGCAGCATTTACTGCTAATAAGTCCACGGCACATGTGGCCATTGTCTAAGCTTTCCTTTCAGCACTGAGCATGTGGACAGCAATCATCTTATTTGCATTCTTTTTTATTTCCCCCTCTACATTCTTCCTCGGGGAAATGCCTCCAAAACTGTATTTCCTTTATGTTTAAAATAATTTTTAAAACTCTGATTTTTCTGGGCAGCGGGAATTTTTTATCGTTAGTAATGTATTTATTAGCGACAAGAATAGGAAAAAACGGTGGAGTGTATGTTCTCTTCACCTTACTCTGTCTATATTGAAAAAAAATAGTCGGGAAAGACTAGAGACTGCAAGCAAATTGGAGTTTTGGCAGCAAGAGTGTTTGCAGCTCTGAACACATTCACACACATCACCTCTCCCCCCTCCCTCAGAAAAATCATATTTGACTGAGATTATGTCAAATTGCAAGGATCGGAAATGTCTTGCCCAAAAGCCTTTCCCATAGGAACAAGTCAAAAGGGTTCCTGGCATTAAAACGACCTTGCGTCAGTCCTGATGAAATTAGCCTCGCTGCATTTCTAGGTCCTTGCTACGGATGTACTTTGATCGCAGTAAGAAGAAGTGATAGATTTTTTTCATCCTCCAGATGAACAGGGGTGTTCTGCTTTTCTAGATGAGAATCCCGAGACAAACGTGCTAAAGCCTTTTAAACTCACAGGCTGTTTTCTTTAAGTGCAAGCGATGGGAATTGCTACCCCGGTCAAGAAAATTTCATTTCCCCCATTCTGCTAAACGGCTCTGGTCGACATATGTTTGTTATCAGAAAGAGGTGCTATGAACACAGAGCCATTTTCTTAGCAGCTTTTTGACTGTATGTTACCATAGTCCCACACGGTATTGGTCCTTTCCCATTGGGAAGTCATGAATAAGAGACTATGAAGCTTGCACGTCAGGTCTTCCTCAATGAATCCACCATTAGCATGTTTGGGATCCACTCCTGGATGGTTAGCAGCAGCTTTGGTAACTGTATGCTGTCCATACCCAATTATGCTCTGCTAAAAATGAACCAACCTTCTTGAGCTGTCAGTGTCTCCCGTTTTCCTGTTTTAACGTTTGTGTGCAGTGGCAGGCGACAGATGGTGTAGATCAGATCGATTTGATTTCATTAGGCGATTTTTCCCCTCCTCTCCTTTTCTGGAAGCCCACATCAGCTGAAAGGCGATCGCCGGGGACTCCCATACCCAATTATGCTCTGCTAAAAATGAACCAACCTTCTTGAGCTGTCAGTGTCTCCCGTTTTCCTGTTTTAACGTTTGTGTGCAGTGGCAGGCGACAGATGGTGTAGATCAGATCGATTTGATTTCATTAGGCGATTTTTCCCCTCCTCTCCTTTTCTGGAAGCCCACATCAGCTGAAAGGCGATCGCCGGGGACTCGGAAAGCACTTAGTGCCCAGGGTTTGGTAGCCCAGGACTCCAGCACCAGGAGGGAAAGCAGCGCTCTGCCGCCCCGAGCCTCTTCCCCGCCACACATCAGATGACTCCCTGGTTTTACACACAGCTGGAGTTCTGCTTGAAACCTGGATTTAAAGGGTAAGCGCCTCAGTAGAGGTGGATTTGTGGCACTTACTTGGTTATGTGGAGAGGAGCGAGATCTCGGAATTTTTTTTTTAGCGGAGGCACGGATTTTTTTCACCGGAGAACCCTTTCCTTTCCCCCTCCCCGCTGCCTGCGGACCCCCTAATTCACAATAATATTCCTCCCGGAGAGACATCGCGTCTCCCTATTGATCGATATCCTCAACCCTCCCCCCCCCCCAATTTTGCTCTCAATGGCAAAAGCGGGCAGCTCTCTCGCTCGATCCCCCATTGCTTAATTGTTAAATCCCCCCCATTCCGCCCCCGACACCCAGGTAATCTCAATGAAGCGATGCCTTCCTGGTATATTTCAAGGGGCATCTGCGGGGGGGTGTGTGTGGCGGGGAGGGGGCTCCGACACCTCCCGCTATGACGGCGGGGAAGCAGGGAGGTAGATTCGAATGAACATGGCTTTTTCACGAATCCAGAACAAAGGTACTTAATAGCGAGGCGAGCTTCGCTAAGGGCATCCGCGGAGCGCAGAGGCAAAGGTGTAAGTGGAGCCGCAAAACGCCCGCTATGGCAGGGGATTTTTATTCCTGGTGTGTTGAGCAGAGCTGTGTGTGTCTGTGTGTGTGTGTGTGTGTGTGTGTGTGTGTGTGTGCGCGCGCGGGGGGGAGGGGG